ATGTATGTATATATGCATTTATGTATGTATATATGCATTTATGTATGTATGTGGGTATGTATGTATGTATGTATGTATGTATGTATGTATGTATGTACGGATGTATGTATATGTACTTATGTGTATGTGCATGTGTATGCGTATGTATGTGTATGTATGCGTATGTATGTCTGTGTCTGTATGTGTATGTAAGGATGTGCATGTCTATGTATGTGTATGAATTTGGATGTATTTATATGTATGTGCATGTGTATGTATGTACATGTATGTGATGTGTGGATGTACGGCTTGATGTGATGCGTGTATGTCTGTATGCATGCGTGTATGTATGCATGCACGGACAGGGAGATGATTGGACAGATGGATGGGTACATGGATATACATAGATAGACACATTGATAGGTAGATACATAGATACACAGATAGGTAGATGGACAAATAGAGATGGAGACTGAGACAGAGGTTGGGACTGGGAAAGCGCAAGAGATAGAGCTAGAGGGAGCGCTAGAGACAGGGCGAGAGGCAGACACAAACATAGATATAGATACAGATATACAGATGGGCCAGGGCCTAGCCATGGACACATACTCAGAAATATACATATGCAAATGAGGCTTTCAGATAGGATATGTCCGCTCAAATTAGAAGTCATGTACACTAACTGTGAGGAATAGGTGCAACATTACCAATACTCATCGTGGTTTATTGTCTTTCGTGCTCTTACCTGTGTCAGTATCGTTACTTTGGGTGTTGATGTGGTTAGTGTCAACTACACATTATCCCACGAGCTGCCTTCAGACCGCTTTACACATTTGGGCTGTAAAGGCGTCGCATGTCATCACAGGCAGGTGCGAGCCCCAGTCCCAAAAGCTTGGAAAACAGGTTTGGGTTTGAGTTTCGCCCCTGTGCCTGACTGCCTTCGCTGATCAGTCTGGTTGGGGGAGGCACTTCCCGAAACTCCGATTCCTAGTCCGATCAAGTCTTGTGGACGTCGCATGCCACAGTAAAGGAGACCTGCCTTGCGAGCAAGCAGGACAGAGTTGGATGTGCCAAGCATCGTCCAGATACAGAGGTCTGAGCACAACCCCAGGCAGACCTGAACGATGTGGCGCAGAGTATTTTGTAGTACAAGAATTAAAGACATTCGAGTAATAGTAAACTATAGCATATTGTAGTACATTGTAGCAGCTTTCAGTGCGTCGTCATATCGTGTTATAGTATTCCAGCCAAAGGAGCATCCCATAAGCCAAGCCTTCCACTTCTACACACGAGACATGACAGCGATGGAAGCCCTGGCTTCCTGATCTAGGGTTTTAGGGTTTAGTGTTTAGTGTTTAGGGTTGAGGGTTTAGGGTTTAGGGTTTAAGGTTTAGGGTTTAGGGTTTAGGGTTTAGGATTTAGTGTTTTTTTTTGAGGGCCTTTTTCCGTCTGCTAACTCCTAGCTCGGGAATCTGCGTGGCAGAAGGCAAGTGCCCCACCAGCCTACCCTTAGAGGATTCAGTGTTTAGGGCTTAGGGTTTAGGGTTTAGGATTTACGGTTTAGGGTTTAGGGTTAATAATGTCATGCTGGAGAAGCCTCACAGTGTCTGCCCCGGGCGTTCGGAGTGAAAATACTTCTTGCAGCCTCCTTCGGAAATGGCTAAGTCTGCGGCTCTAACAGAGTAGCCGTTGGAGGCTTAGCATACTAATTTATGTACATTAGATAAGGTTGTGGCACATCACAGTGCATTCTAGTATGTCACAGTCTTGAAAAGATGTTGCAGAGCATATCCAATTGGCCTCTTGCAGGTAGATCTCCGCGCAGACGTTGCAGACGTCGCCTGCGAGAGCCGTTGGGATCCGCAGATGCCGTCCCTTCCCAATCCAGGGCTTAGGGTTTAGAAGTTTAGGGATCCACTACAAGACCCAGAGCCTTGCACCGGGTAGGGGCAGCCGCCATCCGCCCGGAAGAAGACACCGTCGACGTTGCAGCCTACAACTTCACTCTTGATTGCGCGAGCTCTCGTCCTGAAAACCTTCTGGTGCATTTCGGCCCAAAAGGAAGGCCGGAACCGACCCCAAACCGACGAAGCTTGACCACCCTGCAAAAAGCGTCAGCAAGCCAGTCGGATAGCCAACCGTGTCGAACAGAACCATTTTGTGATTTAGTGAAGACTTAATGGAACTTCAGAGAGGCTCGCCGGCACGGAAAGCAGGGACGGTGAGCTCTTGGCCTGTGTCGTTCAAGTACAAAGGCGGCGGAAGGCAGCGCATGCACCTCTTTCAGGTTTCCACTCGAAACCAGGAAACCAAGATGCGGGGAGCATGGCCTAAGTACAAAGCTGAAATCTTAGGCAAGCCTTCTGCTTGTGGGAGCGGTGGAAGCAATCAGAAACCTCGCCCTCGAGACAAGTGATTCCCGAGCGAAACCTGTCGTTCCATCTGCAGCGCGTCTGCCCGGCAGAAGGCGGAAGATATGCCTGCGAGGTTCGTCAATAAACTAGACCATGGACTCAAAAGCCCGGCGTAACCTGCCTCACAGAACATCCCGGCTTGCAGGCTTGCCGAAAGAGCCCGAGGCGGTGCTGCAACAAAGCGATGTCATCACGACAAGACAGCTCTCGATCATCCATTAAAAACGTGGGCCCAACATTTCGTGCAGAGTGTACCACGAATGATTTCACCACATATTGCAGCACGGATATAGAGATCAGCCCAGTGTGGAAGCTCATTCGAGTAAGTACACATCACGCAGGAAAACGCGCAACGAAAACCCTCCTCCTAAACACCAGTGTCGACTCTACGTGTGTTTGTCTGGGCTAGAAGCTTTAAAGCTTTACAAAGCCTCACAGCTCTCGGCACGGTTTACTTGCTTCGTCCATGCGCTTGCAAATCGAATCCTGAGGTAGACGACTCTGTTGTGATTGGATTGCTTTGCAATGCCGAATACAAAACTAAGCTTTAGGTTTCAACGCAGGCCCCAAAAAAGTGGAACCGTGTCGCCGATGCTTCGTAGTAGCTTGGATGAAGGCAGACCCGGTTCCGACATTAAAGCCGAGCTTGGATGAATGCTAGGCCTAGTTCAATGCTAAAACCCAGCGTGTGCTTCCTCACAGCGATGCGATGCGAGTCAGAACTGAACTTCGCAGCTTTACAAGCATGATACTTATGATAGATTTGGTTACCTGTGCGTCCTCAAGAGCGCCTTTGCACACGTATGACCAGCGCGCGGTGCCGAGCAGCGGTGGACGGCGTAGATTCCCAGGGCAGAGCAAAGGTCTGGCGAGACAGGTTTCGGGCTTCACGGTCGAAGGCGGGAAATGTGGGCATGTTGCACGCCTCTTGCTGGTAAAAGAAATGCAAGGTTGACGAAGCTCTCAATCCCACGAAAACATTCTGACTCCAGCCTTCGCTGACTATCTCCTCCTCGATCTCCTCCTGGACTTCCAGGAAGGTCTCGTTGCCGAGGGTGTCGTTTTCCCCGTCCATGGCGAGGCAGCTCGGAGAGCGCACGCGCACGAGGCTGCCGCCGCTGCCGCTGTCGGCTCCATGGCGGTCGACGCTTGCCCCGCGCTTCTTGTAAGCGTGTAAATCGCATGTCTGGCCTGCAGCTCTCTCGTCGAGGGTAAGACAGGCACTGATTATGTCCGACTTGACAAACCGTGGCTAAACTATTGGCGATCTTTGGCCAATGAGCGCATCGGTTTGCCTTCGTGCATCTAAAGTTGCTGCCGCACCAGTGGACATGCGGGCACCAGCAATGTTCGCCTAATTTGGTTCCCGTGCACATGCTGTCGAAGAACGTGTCGTGCTGCCCCGGCCTCATCGTTTTGAACGAGTAGATGTAAACCTCGAACTCAAAGCAGCAAGAACAAGAACCGAGATGCAATGACGGAGTTCTGGCTCTGTTCACATGAGGCGCTTCTGAAAAAGACGGAAAGAAGTTCAAGCAAAATGGAAACCCAAGAACACGACTGTAAGTGGCCTAGCTGCAGCTGAGCTTGTGGCATTTGGCTGCGAAGTGATACTTCTCTCAGCCACTGCGAAATACGTCATGTCAGGTGACATCTGGCAGGGAATCCGGCTCAGCCCAACACTAAAAGCTAAAGCAAATCAAGTCGCTGCAAATGACACATCATGCAGCATGGGTCTATCCGATGTCCTGTACTTCCGGACACCTCTATTCAAAGGTCAGCTGATGCGCGCCCGTCTCCCTCCCGGGGTTGCACCGCTACGGCGCCAATACCACCATTGTCACGACCGTGGAGGAAGCGTCGCTGGCGAGTATCTCGGCACGGCCAACACTCTCTTTGCATGTGCACTCACGGGCCTGTGAGCAGCATGCGGCCGCGTTGCGTATGTTCATGAAGCAAACCACGTGGCCGGTGATGTACGCAAACTCCTGCCAAGAGCCCACAGCACCAGGCAGGGAGGCCTTGCAACAGCGGACGCCAGTCCTCGTTTGAGGTCCAGACTGCGTTGTTGATCCGGCTGAAGTCAAAGCCTCAAGCATACCATACCAGACTATAACATACTATACTAGACTGCTCTGTACTGTCCTGCACTATACTATACCAGACTATACTATATTATACTATACTATACTGTAGCTGGGTGTACAATACTGTACTAGACGACACTATACACTCACCTTGACAGCTCTTCGTCACCGCTCTTGGTCCCGGGACACTTTGCTCAACATTGCAGGATGCTTCAATCTCAGGCTCTCGCCCATGAAGCGAGCTGCTCGCGTCCCTTGCCGCGGCAACTCTCGATCCTTTTACAGGGAAGCTGAAGAGGGAGGCGACGGCTTTGTGAATAGTCTCAGTATAGTATAGTAGAGTGGAAGTCCCTCTGCAATCACAACTCCTCCAGATTGCATAAACAAATTCCAACAAACAGCCCGAGCAGCCAGTCACGCTGTAGAGATCCCAGCTCAATCCTCAACCCTAAAGCTTTAAGCCTTAAACCCTAAAGCCCTAAACCCAAAGCCCTAAAGCCCTGTAGGCGTCCTCCAAAGGCGGGTTGAGCTCCGGGGCGCTTGGGTCGTAGAAGAAGCTGGCAGGAATCCGCCACCTGGAGCTCACGAAGTCGTTTTTTGTGTAGTACGGCATAAGATATTGTAGTACAGTATACTGTAGTATGGGAAGATGTACTACAGCACAAACATAGTAATATAGTATTTAATAGCAGAAAGTTAGGGCCAAACTGAGTTCACATCAAGTCATCCTGGTTCGTCCCGCATGTCCCGCCTGGCTTCTTCTGCATCGATTTTATCCTGCGCGTCATCGTCGTGAGTTGATGACTGGATCCTGAAATTGCAAGCAAGGCATGAATGCGAAGCAGCCGACTCTCTCTACAAACCGTCTATGTACAGCCGTTTCCTGGATCAGAGCTGGGAGGGCCTGGGCCTGGTCGGGCGAAGCGAAAGCTAGCTAAGCCTCGGGCGATGTGCTTCGCTTCCTTCGGATACCTTCAATGATCTCCTTGGAAGCTTGCCTCCGTTGAGACGAAAGCCCGAACTCCACAGTGGACAGCTGAGCATGACCACGTCGCCAAGAAAAGCGAGATACACAAAGCTCGGCCTGTGCACCATCTGTCTCCTCACTACCTGCCATCATTTGCTGGAAGATGCTGGTCTTAACGACTGCCAGCTTCAAGCACAGCAGCAGGAGTGTTCCCTGAAGCCCAGCATCGTTCGGTCAATATCTCCAGCCTTGTCGGAAGGGCTGTCATCACCTCGAAGCGGGTGCCCACATCACACTTCTAGAGACGGTTTCCACCGGAATTGTTGCAGTCACTTGTGGCTGGTGCTGATCGCGGTCACATCTTAAAACCATCTAAAACCAGTGGGGATCTGGACGGCACAAGTGATCGCTCCAGCTTGCAAGCGAGCAAACACCTCGAGGTGTACGTGTTATGCCCTACACTGCAAGTCCAAATTCTACCTGACCTCACATTTCCACAGCAGACACCCCCCTGGAAACTCCGAAGACCCGTTTGTAGGGACTGTTGACCTTTACGAACACAATTCAAGTCTCCAGCCTTCCGTGTTGGTCTCATCACCACCCTGGAGAAGGCCACGGTTCAGGCGCCGAAATTCGATTTGTAGCCGATGCATTGTAGTTGCTGTAATATAGTTTCGGGAGAATTGCGCTGGCAGTTTGAACTTTGCCCACCTCGGTAGTCGCGGCCCCTCCAAAGCGGGACGTCGGCGATGCCTGGTCAGCACACTTCCCAGGGGCCGCTTCCCACTGGAACTGTCTTGCAAACATGTTCCCCATAGCTGAAAGCGTTGCCTCCGCCTAACGTGTCTGTCTCGTCTTCCTATGAAGTGAGCACCCCGTACCCGAGGAGCCCCCGTACCCGAGGAGCCACGTGCAAACGAGACTCTGTACTGCTTTGCTTCTTGGCTGGAACCTGGAATCCTTCTACCCATGCTACCCAGTCTCAGCGGCGAAAATATCCTGAAAAGACGTTCCTCACCTGAGCGCAGACCTTAGCAGGGTCCTACTTGGCGAGCTTCTGACTGGCACTACTTAGAGATCTTCCAATTCTTGCATTTGAGCAGGTCCCGGGCCTCACCGTCCGCATCTCCTGCCGGCTCCTTCAAAGCTCACGGCTGGGTCTGAAAGTAATAGAACAAGCGCAATCGGTACACTTGCGACCTTAAGCACTACGACGACTGTGGTGGCTTCAGGACTTTTAACACTGACTCGTCGTCGTGGCAGCGGGCAGTGGCACTAGTAGTAGCAGTAGTAGTCGTCGTCGTCGTCGTGGTCGTGGTCGTCGTCGTAGGCATGGTTGTGGTAATGGTGATAGTAGTGGCAGTAGGGGTAGCAGCGGCAGTCATGGAAGTAGTGGTAATTGTGGTAGCGATGGTACTAGCGGTAGTAGTGGTAGTCGTGCTCGTGGTAGCATAGTATGGTACTAGTGGTAGTGGTGGTAGTGGTGGTAGTGGTGGTAGTGGTGGTATTGGTGGTAGTGGTGGTAGTGGTGGTAGTGGTGGTAGTGGTGGTAGTGGTGGTAGTAGTAGCAGCGGCAGCAGCGGCAGCAGGGGAAGTAGTGGTGGTAGTGGTGGTAGTGGTCGGTAGTGGTAGGTAGTGGTCGGTAGGTGTAGGTAGCGGTAGGTAGTGGTGGGTAGTGGTAGGTAGTGGTAGGTAGTGGTGGTCGTTGTACTGGCTAGTGGTGGTAGCAGTGGTAGTGGTGGTAGTGGTAGGTGGTATCAGTGGTAGTGGTGGCAGTGGCGGCGGTGGTGGCGGCGGCGGTGGTGGTGGTGGTGGCGGTGGTTGCGGTTGTGGTTGTTGTGGTTGTTGTGGTTGTTGTGGTTGTTGTGGTTGTTGTGGTTGTAGTCGTAGCCGTAGCCGTAGTCGTAGCCGTAGTCGTAGTAGTAGTAGTCGTCGTCGTCGTCGTCGCCGTCGTAAGCCGGGAGCGGTTCGTAACCCCAAGCACAAAAGCAGATTGAATCCAAACCAGTGCCCCACCCGGACCTGGATGTCAGCTTCTGCCGGCGCGGCATCTGGAGCCCCCTGTGCGAAAGTGCCAGGAACAGCAGAGGTTCCAGCATGGTCGTTCCTAAGTCCCTGAGGCGACCCAACAATGGCAATGGCTACATCCTCAATGCGGCAAAGACTGGCAAAGCATGAACGCCAAAAGGCGGGGAGGAGCAAACAAGAGGCAACCCCTGAACTTCCTGAACCCTGAACACGTAGAGAGGGAGAGAGGGCAGCAAAAGGTACATGTCTGGGAGTTGCGAAACGGCAGGAGCCGCAATCCCCGAACCCCGAAAGAACAACGGGAAAGGATGGGGGGGGAGTCCATATTACAACTTGGTCCATGGAGGGGAGGGCAGGTTGAGAAACATAACTTGGCTCACGGGCCAGAGCCATGGCCGGTCACATGTTCCAATGATTCTAAAATTATATTGACGGGGCTCTGCTTCACAAGCTTTCCCTGGCGGTTCGGACCGGACAGAGTCTGTTTGTTGGGCCCTGCGCCAAATTGGACTCACAGGGTCTCAATCCAAGGCCCTATGCAAAAATGCAGATTTCCTCTTCCGCCAGGCTTCGTGAATCGGGTCTACTGCCAGATGACAAATAAAAGTGCACTGAATAGAAAAAATCGTTGACATCCCAAAACCTGGCAACCCGGCCTCGGCCGGAGCTTCTGCCGCTGGAGCCGGCGCCTGGCAGTGTAAAGCTTCGCAGCACGGCACGAGTTAGTTTCAGCATCAGACCCATCATCAAATCGCTCTACCTCTCCGCCACAAACAACAAGACAATAGCTACAACTACAGCTAGTCCTTGGCTGCGACGAAGAATGCCTTTTCACTGCTAACCCTACCGCTTACTACTAGGGCTAGTGCTGCTGCTGCTGCTACACATCATTACTTACTACAGTAGCTGCTAGCTGTCGACTTCCACCGCGCGAACGAGTACCAACTACGACTGCTGCTACTGCTAGTGCTACTGCTACCACTCCAATCGTAGCAACAATGATGCCGTGGCGGTGCTGGTGCAGTTGAGCCCCTCAGCCTCGGCCGCTTCTGCAGTCGCGGCTTCTGCAGGGGGCACCCCTTCAGCTGCTGGGGCCGCTTCGGCTTCCGGTGCAGCTGCTGCTTCGGCTTCAGCCGGCTCCCCGTCCATCGCCTGATAGCCGAGTCTCTCAGGGTGTGGTTCAGTTCTCCGGAGTTTGTAGTCATCTGTGGTTTCCTCACGCATTACCGAGTTTCAGGAGGCCGGATATCTGCGTTGGAGTGGCGCTTGCCCTGCAGGGCGCTCTGGCCCTCACGAAGCAGTGATCAAGGCGGTACTTGACAAAGCCTCTGGACCACTCATACGAAGGCTGCAATCTTTATGCGTTACCAAGACAGTTTACGACAACGTCGGTGCAACAATATGCTTGCATCCACAAAGGCCCTAGCCCTAGCCACTTGGGAGAAAGGAATCTACAGCAAGCCTAAGTGAAGCGATCAGGAGAGCAAGCATCCACAAAGGGCACAGCTTTGGCGAATGCCTTGGCGGCGCTGGTGTGCCTATCTGATTGGCATGCCAACTTATTGCTGTGCACGTTCTTGTGACGATGCGGGATGCTCGGTTGTCATAGTTATACCATGCTGCTGAGTTTGCGCTCCACAGTTGGTTGAATGCCTTCCATGTTCCTACACGAATCTGAGCTCAAATAACAACAGGCCAAGCGAGTGTGAGCTCTACCGGTGTTAGAAGGGGCAGCGGATGCCAGGCTGTCAACCGGGGGGGGCACAACAGGCAAAACGTCATATGTAGATCCATCCAGGCGAAACAAAAGCATTTGCCCTGAGCGCATTCCGGCCATCGACGTGGAGTGAGACATGCGGCTGGGAGGTCGATGAACACCTGTAGCGGTACTGTAACACAACTTAACCATGTAGAGCGGTGTTGCCAAGAGGCGAATCGTGTCGTTCAGCGGCCTTGCAACTTCTTCAAGGGGGCCTTCAAGAGCTGTGGCCAGGCTGGAACTCGTAAGCTTAGGCCAGGATTGCAGCCTTGAGCTTTTGATCTGGATCTTTCAACTCTGCTCTGGCCGGAAGCGAAGGCCAAACGGAGGTTTCCGAAGCTTCGCCATTCAAGGGCCGAGCAATCGGAAACCGCCAGGAGGTACTACGAACTAAGGGGCCCCTAAACCGCGAACCCCAAACCCTAACCCTGAACACCCTATATTCCCTAAACCCTCAACAGCAGCCTAAACTCTAAATAAACCCTAAACCACTCCTAAACCCGGCACCCTCGGACCCTCCGGAGCTTTCGGTGAGCCTCTCAGAGCTGATGCTGCAAGAGCCGACCTGTCGGCCCCGAGCACCGTCCGCCTACAGACGACACCAGACGATCTCAATATGCTATACTCTACTATACTATACTCTACTCCACTCTACTCTACTATACTATAATATACTATGATATCTTCTTTGTACTATACTATACTATAAAATCCTATGCTATGCTGTCCTTTGCTATACTAGACTAGACCAGACTAGACTAGACTAGTCTGCAGTACTATGCTAAACTATACCATGCTATGCTACGCTATGCTATGCTGTGCTACACTATGCTGTGCTATACTAGACTCGACTAGGCTGGACCAGGCTAGGCTACAGACAGTAGGCTCGGAGTGACTACACATACCTACCTACCTACCTACCTACCTACCTACCTACCTACATACATACATACATACATGTGTATATATATATATGTATGCATATTGATATGTGTGTAGAAAATACACATATGTATATAGAAATATATGCTACATGATGCTATAGTGCAGTACACTATGCTATACCATACCATAGAACACCAGACCAGGCCAGACCAGTCCACGAATGACCATAACACATGATACAATACTATGCCATACCACAACAGATCAATCATGTAAACACACGCATCTTATGACACGCACATACATCTTGCATGCATACTTGCCGTCGTTACGAAAACCTGTTGTTGAATCGAACATCTGCATATCATCACTGGTCCTCTTCTTACGTTTGCCGGGAAATCCCTGGGCCTCCCCATTCGTCGCCGTCATCCGCCTTCAGGGGGCATATCACGTCTTCGGAGGCTTCTACCCCATCTCAAATGCCAGAATACGGCAGCTGTCCGCGAGTTACATGCACTTCAGCTAAAGCTCTGACATTCAAACGAACTCGAGAACTGGTCACCCGCCAGAAATCACAAATTCCAGAGGCAGAATCTCGTAGAGAATACCACGGCTGGAGGGCCCACCCCAATGTCCGGCGGCTGTGGGCCCAAGTGCTCATCATCGAACACATCCCGCGTGTCACCTGCGGACCCCGGGGACCAACAGCTCGAGATGAGGCGTGAGGATCCAGAGTCGAGCGTTCAGGGCTAATGCTGGCTACAGGATTCGAGGCATTTCAATCATCGCGAAGGATTCGATTTCTCTGGCTAGTAGATTCCTAGCCCAACTTGTCGCAATGACTGCGGTTGTTGTTTTCTCAGTATTCTTGGTCCTGCTCTTGCCGTAGAAGTGCCTGCTGTTGCAACACCTCCGGGCATTTCCCCTGGCCTGTCTTTTCAGCACAACATATTATCAATCACCAACAATGGCAGCTATCAGCGTCGAAGTACCAGGGTCACTAGAATGCGCATGCTAACAGAACAGGCTATTCCTAAACGACGGCTCTGAAAGAAGAACCGAATCAACTGCAAGTTCGTTGCCTCGCGCTTTCTGCGGCTTCGGGCTGCTGCTTCGGCCGCGCGGCGAGGCGCTCGGCGAGCGGAGGCCTGACCCCACGTGGCTCTGGAGCCTTTTAGGTGTGGAGCTTACAAGATTTCTGAGACCGAGGCATGGAGACGACTACTACGACTACGACTACGACTACTACTACGACTACGACTACTTACTACTACTACTACTACTACTACTACTACTACTACTGCTACTACTGCTACTGCTACTGCTACTGCTACTGCTACTGCTACGGCTACGGCCATTATTACTGCTAGTATTTGGACTGTTACGCTTATTGCTGCTACTGGTATTACTACGTTTACGTGACTATCTCTTTCCTGGTGCATCGGATGCACCAAAAACTGCGAGTCAGCTGCTGGTAAATAACTCAAGTCAAGGTGTGCTCTCACAGCTGTGATTACGATGCGTCATTGTGCCGCAGCGTCCCCCACCTCTTGAAGATTGTGGGCTGGCGGCAGCAAAGCCCTGAGATCGCGAAGGCTTTGGGACCAGCCCGGAAAACACTCATCTCGGAAACTGGGAGGCGCCATGTCTGGCCAGACCGACAGACGGTTGACTGCAGAACGTCTCACTTCCATGCAGCGCTTCCCAACTTCAAGCTCCTGAACCTTGGGTCCCGGACAAAGAGTGGTGCCAGTGCTGGGCTCACCCTGCCGAGATGCAGACTAACATTACGAAAGCCGCTGTCGGATTCTCATGAGCGATCGCACTGACATCGAAAAAACAGCACCATAAGGCACTCTATACTTCCTGCGCAGGTCTTGCATCCAATCTCCTCACAAGGCACACCGACACTCGCATCTGAGCACCGGTCCATTTCAAAGGGCTGCTGACACCGTCTTGCCACAAGCCTGACAGCGAGATGCTCCTTCAGACTAACTCACATTGTAAGAAAGTCATCAGCCTTGTCCCCGGGTTGAAGAGTCTGGCCCGCAGGCAACACACAGCACTCTGCGAGCTTGGGCCCGCGATCTCAGCCAGAGCGCCATTGGGCTTCCAGCCTGAACCTCCTGAACCTCAACAAAACGCCAGCACCCATCGCGCACATCAGCCCTGAAACTAAAGCTCAAGAAGATCTTGCATGGACTTGCATCAGAGAAGAAGCCCACTCTGCGGGCCTCTACTGGCGGCTGGCCTGCAGAATGTGCAAAGGTTTGGACTGGACAAGAAAATATGTGGTCCACTACCTGCCTCGCGGTTCTAGTCCTAGTGAGCTTGCACCGTTGCTCCCGAAACAGCGAATCCAAATAGCTCTGCAACCCAACTGAGGACC